AGAGCTGAAAGATTTGAGGTCTGGAAGAAGCAGTAACCAATTTTAGGCTTATATCCTAAGGGACTTCACCAAAACACAGTTACTATGCAAGTTCTCCAAAGTTTTCACCAGATAGTGTACAACTGTCCAGTTGGTTCTCTACCTTCCTAATCCCATTTAATCTGTCCCCACCCACCCATCCCTACTCACCTTTCCCTCGACCTGGCCCTCGCCACCTCACACCAGGACCGTTGCACCTGCCCTCTTTGTCTTCCTTCTCTTAGGCCCCCTTCTCTTTTGCCAAGCTAACTTTCCTAAAATGACTATTTTCATGTGCTGCTGACCTGTTAGAAATGCTGAATGGCGTCCGAGTGGCCTTCCTCAGTCTGCCCCCTGTCTGCATCTCCGGTCCTTTCCCCTTCTGCTCCCTCCTCTCTTGCCAGTCTGAGCTGTCCATGCGCCTTCGCTGCATAATGCACATCAGTGCAATGCGTGACGCTGTGGTCCTGGCCGTCGGGTGGCCTGAGCCCAAATCCTCCCCTGTCAGCCTCGTGACCTCGGACAAGTTAGGTAACTTCTCTGGCCTCTTTTTTCTGGTCTGTTAAGGGGGAAAAGAAGACTTTGTAAGGATTCTATGGACTACTCTAGGTAGGTGAAAGTGCATGGGGCAGTGCCTGGCACTTAGTAAGTGCTGTTAGCTGCTGATGTTATCATCATCATCATCATCATTATTAATTACTATCACTCCTGCCTCCTGAAATCCTTCACTTCCTCCAAGGCCTCCGCTTCCTCCAAGGCCCTGCATTATCTCCCCTTCTTTTCCCTGGCTGTGCTGGCCCGTAGTATGTCCCGTCCCATGTTTTCAGCTTTCTCCGCAGTACCAGTGCCAGGCACACTGCAGGTCCAGCCACAGCAGCCTGCCTCTGCCTCAGACACGTCAAGCAGGCTCCCGTCTCAGGGCCTTTTGCTGGCCGTTCTCTACTTAGAATGCTCATCCCCCATATCTGCCGTCCCCAACCCCCAGTCACAGCCTGTTAAGTACTGGGTTGCAGAGCTCTGCTGCCCCCCAACCCCTGGCCCGTGGGAAAAATTGTCTTCCATGAAACTGGTCCCTGGTGCCAGAAAGGTTGGGGACCACTGCCCCAGATGGCCCATGACTGCTCCTCCTTCATTCAGGTCTCTGCTCCCCTCATCAGAGACCTTCTCTGACTATGCTATATGAAATGGCATTCCTCAGCACCTGACGTATATTAACCTCCTGTACTTATTTCATAACATTTATCACTGCCAGGCAATTATAATTGTTTTATTATTATCCCCAATTGGATTCTAAGCTCCATGAAAGAGTGGACTTTGTTTTGTTCACAGCCTTTTCCCTGAAACCTAGAAAATTACTTGGCATGTAGTAGGAATTCATACTCATAAATGTGTGTTAATAACATCTTACATGTATATAGGGAGATTTATAGTTTGCTTTCACGTACATTCTCTTTCTTGCTTGATAACAATGATGAAAATATTATCAGCCTCACTTTGCAGATGAGAAACAAGCCAGAAGAGGCTTAAAGAGTTGGGCAAGGTCAGACAACTAAAATAGTCCCTGAGATCTGCCCCCCAAGTCCAGTGTCATTGCCACACGCTGTGCTCTGTTAAGTGTTTTGCCATTGGTGGTGATGACATAGGGCAGCAACAGTGACCAGTTTGGCCTTCGAGGTTTTCACAGAAGTTAGAAGTTACACGCACAGGCTAAGAGGGGGTGGAGAATGCAGCAATTGCTAAGGTGGCTGCTGCCAAGTGATTTCACCTTCATAATCTTGTTTGATTCTCCCAACAAACTTGCACAGTAGCCAGAGCAGGGATTATTGTTCTTATCAGGCCAACAGTGTGCTTCATCTTTATTCTGTCCTTTGTCTCCTTACTCCTCCTTCCTCTCCCAGTAATGATTTTGGCCCCTACAACTATCTTGTTTGTATTTTGATTTGAATTAACTTTTCAGTTTCCTAGATGTACATTCCAGCATTAGAAGTATAGAAACTGACTCGGAAGGGGAGTGCACATACACAATAAGAGAAGCTTGTTTCACATGAGCTCTGCAAGGTGCAGGAGGCCAGGGAGGAAGATTGTTGCTGAATGATGCTGAATCAGTGATTTCATCAGCAACATTTAAGGGTCCCTGGTGTGTGTGTACAGTACTGGACTAGCTGTTGTGGGGGATACACAGGCATAATATTAATACAGTATCCTGCCCTCAAAGATTTTGACTCTGTTTGGGAAAGAGAGCATATGTAAGAAGTTAAATTCCAACCCACAGTGAAAAAAATGTTGCCAAATTCTAAATGGTTATCAGTGATTATTACAGACAAAAGATTGGCAAAATTTTTCTGCAAAGGGCCAAATAGTAAAAAGTTTAGTGTTGTCAGCCATATAGTTTCTGTTGCAGCTGCTCAACTCTTCTGTCAGGGCTCAAAAGCAGCCATAAACTGTAGGATAAGTAACCAATGGGCATAGCTTGATTTGGCCTGAAGGCCTTTGCTGACTCATCCTATTGACAATAAATTCTGTAGGTTTTTTGGGGTGGTTATGGAAGGTTTTACTGAGGAGTAAGGACTTGAGCAAGGTCTTGAATAGTAGCTGGAAATTGAATAGTGGAGAGTGAGCAGTTGAATAATAGGACATATTAGGCATTATAAGAAATGCTCAGGAGACATTGAACAAATCAGCCTGGCTAGTGTTTAAACACTTAGTTCCTTATTGACTAGCTTTCTATTATAGGGGCATTTCTGAACATAAAGAACTAAGGAAGCCCCGTCCTTAAGCTTGTATGCAATGCATTGGGCAAGTATCATCACCCCTATCCTCATTGAAGGGTAAGGATGGGGCCTTGAATAATTGCTCTGCTTTTAACCTGCTTCCTGCCTTGGCTGAAATGTAACTGCCTGTCCTTTTCTAGTATTAGATTGCTTAGGTTCACTTCCCAGTTCTACCACTTATTAGCTGTGTGACATTTAGCAAGTGACTTGATCACTCTGAGCCTCACTTTCTCCATCTGTAAGATGGAGATAATAATAATATTGTTATTATGACAATGTAGTGGGGTGGTGAATGATGGCTGTTATTTTTGCAACCTCTAAATTAGATTGAAATCATTAGTGTTGCTTAGTTGGAATTATTTTAAATTTCTAAAGTGAGTATATGCTTAGGAAAGCTTGGCTGTTTCACTTTGTGTAAACAGATTAAACTGATGAGCTGTATCAAAAGCTGTAGATGGTAGAAATATTTGCCTGCCCCAGCCTTATCTCAAGGGAACAAATCTCTCCTAATCATTCTTAATTCATAATTCTATGATTAAGAATTCTTGATCATAAGAGCTTATCTATGCAGGTGGATGGCCATAGTTCATGCTATCTACGTGGCTGAAAAATCCCAAGGTCTGAATTTTGGATTCAAGTGATTCCAGGTTTGTAATACCCCCAGGTGCACCAGCATATTCTCTCTGGAAGAATAATAGACTTTAAACCCTAGTCTCAAACACTTCCTACAGATGGAGTTCCAAGGAATGAATTAAAAACAACAACAAAACCCAGCCCCTCACAACAGCAATACCATGAGTGAGGTTCAGTAGGAATAAGAAACAATAAACTGAAGAATCAGATGGCAAAGACTTCAGATATTGGAATTAGCAGATACAGACTATAAAATATACTTAATGTAATTTTTAGAAGAATGAAAAGAAAGTGTAGAAACAAGTATAGGAATTCGCAACCATTATAATTGGCCAGATATTTTTAAAAGAGCCAATAGTAGTACAGTAGTAGGGCCTCGGTATTTGGTGGGTTCCCTTTTGCTCCTGACAGAGCAGTGTGCACACACACGCACACGCATGTACATACACACACACAGTGTTTCTGTTTTTTGGCTTTTTCCATTCAACAAGCATTTGCTGTACCGAGCACTGAGTAGAGAAGACTACCAATATGATTACAAGATGATGATTGTCTTTAAGAAGCTTATAGTCTACTCTTGCCTTTGTTTTCCAAAGGTAGTCAGTCTTTGGAAGACTGAAGACGAAAGACCATGGAGACTACAGTCTTATTGGCCTAACAAGATTTTTTGGCTGCCATTTTACTGCCCACGCATAGCCAGGTCTGTCCTCCAGCATACTAGTCAGCTCAGTTCACCTAGACCAAAAACTAATCAGTACACCTTGAGTACACAGTGCCTGCTGTTTTGGAGTTGTGATTTTATTGGTAGAGTCCTTTGATACCAGGGATTTCTCTAGGCATTCATCTTTTTATGCTCCCTGCTACTTAGAACTCCTGACTCGCTGTTGAAAGAATTCATTTATTAAGAAATAAGGGTAATACTTTAATAGGAAAACTGCCTGTTCATCCCCAGGCATTTTATCTCTTTTAGAAGTAACTAAAATATAAAACTTATTAATTCTGAATATCCTAACTTGGTATAGTAAAGACATTGATTTATGTACTTATAAGGTCCACATGGAGTAACTTGACATCATGGAAGAATTGAAACACTGAAGGAAAATAGGGAAGGAGTAACATTTGTCTGAGTGGGGGCCTGGGAAGGCTTCAAAAAGGATGTGGCATTTGCACTGGGGTTTGAAATGGGATTTTGATAGTTGAATAAAGAGGTGGGGATCGTGGAGAGCATCCTAGCCTGAAACAAGAGCAAGAACAAAGGTACAGAGGCTTGAAAACATGAGGCCTCTTTCTGCAGAGGTGAGAAATGTGGCTGGAAATTTAGAAAAATGGGACTCTTGCTTCCTCTACTATGGAGTTTCCTCTTTTTGCCCTCCCCACCCTCTTTTCTTTGTTATTGTGCCTCTCCTTTCATTCTACTTGGATGACCCCTGTTGAGATACTTGGAGGGAAATAACTCTCCTGTGTACATTAATGAGATTGCCAGAAATAAAGCATTTTATTTAGATGACTATGAAACCAAATTTTCACATGCATTACTAAATGGTATCTTGGAATGGGTGATTGGGGAATCTTTTTCAGGTTGAAAATATCCTCTTGCATGACCGAGGCCACTATGTCCTGTGTGACTTTGGAAGTGCCACCAACAAATTTCAGAATCCACAAACTGAGGGAGTCAATGCAGTAGAAGATGAGATTAAGAAGTAAGCTTTTTATTCCTTTCTTGGAGTTTTATACATTATCAGATAAGCAACTTTACTTTCAGCTTGTGGACGAGAAGGTCGGGGTGGGAAGAGAATGGTGCTAGAAAGTTGTCCTCTGTCTCAGAACCTTGTGTTCATGATTGGGTTGTTTGATTTCAAGTGAAGGATGGTGGGGGGAGAGGGACAGTTCACAAGCATTCATCAGTAGAGTAAAGGGAAGGAATCTTAGAGCACTTTGTCAATGGTCCTGTGGTCATTGTACTTAGAGATTTTGATTTATGATGTCACATATCCCATAAAAAGCCAAGTAGTGCACACAACATAAAAGTACTATGGTGTTTTTAAGTGTGATCGTGACAACCAGGACATTATCAGTCAAACAAATGTGCTTTTTACTGAACCCTAAATTACTGCTTCCTTTTTGCTCATAACACAGTCTTTGTAGAATTAATGGTGAGTAGGGTTATTGAAGTCTCTGCAGATATTTAATCACCGACTTCCATAAGACAAAGCTTCTTTAGATTTGTTACTCCAGAAAAAGCTGACCCATTCCCCCCGCCCCGTGTCCACAGTGTTGGATTTTTCACAGGCAACAGCACTCACTATTACTAGTAATAAATCAGTAGTCCAGCCTGCACACTTACATTCTGATCCTCCCTGTCCTTCCATGCATCACTCCGGGCAACTAAGCCTGGGGCATGAAGACTTCTGGTTCATGGCCCTGATGGATGCCTAAACCAGTCCCATCTGTGATCTAGAGACTCAAGCAGTACAAATTACATGCTTGGTAACTCCAAGACGCTCACTTTGAGGATATGCTTATACTACTTTTTTCTTGAGCCAGAGATAAGAGGGTAACTGTTGTTTCAGCCCTATTCCAGGAGCAAAGATGAAGGGCTCTTGATTTTACACACACACACACACACACACACACACACACACTCACACACACTCTCTCTCTCTCTCTCTCTCTCTCTCTCTCTCTCCCTCTCTCTCCCTCTCTCTCTCTAGCCAGGGCCCACTTTCTGCTGTTCTCCAGAATATCCCAGCCACTATTGCGTCTCTGTATTGAGCCACATTTAAAGGGTTTATTATTTTTGAAAACAAATCAACAAAACATAGTTTCAGATAGCAAGAATTTATAGGATAAGATGTCATCATTTGAGGACCCAAGAAAAATTGCTTTTAGAGTTTATTTAGTGCATTAGTGTCTGGGTCCCCACATATTCTTAGACTAGAAGGACTGCTGCTGGAGGGCCATGGTGTGATGATATGATTGTACCAAGGACAGCCTTTCATTTTATCTGCACTAATATTTCATACTCTCTTCTATAGATTTTTCCCAGGGATTCTTTTAATGTAAAAGAAAAAAAAGTATTTCTGCTGCTCCTGGTGTTTAATTATAGCCTTGACATATTTAACAAAAAATGAATCTCTTGATTGTAGATACACAACGCTGTCCTATCGAGCACCAGAAATGGTCAACCTGTACAGTGGCAAAATCATCACTACGAAGGCAGACATTTGGGTAGGTATCAAGTAACCTATGCACACCTCAGATATCAGTAGTCTTGATTATGAACTCCCAGTTTAATGCAGATAGTGCTAAAGCACAGTGGCTGCTGTACCATATCATTGTCTCTTTATCCCTCAAGGTTGTTCTTGTTGTGAGGGGACCAGTCACTGCTTCTTAAAGCATAAAGAAAATTACTTGCAAGCTCTGAAAATTATTCAAATGTTTTTCACATATATGTTACTAGTTCTTAAGAGTAAAACAAGTAAAATATTTGCTCTTTACTGGACCATAATTTGATAATAATGGTAGAAACAATGTAACTCAGCTGCTAAACAGTGGCATTGGGTTCTAATAGATTAGTGGTATATACTTTTTATATCTGCTAATAAATATGGATGGTACCAGTATCTCTCATTAGATCCATTTATAGTCATGGCAAATAAAGCACTAGTAGCAAACTGCTATCTTTATTTTTTTAGGCTCTTGGATGTTTGTTGTATAAGCTATGCTACTTCACTTTGCCATTTGGGGAGAGTCAGGTGGCAATTTGTGATGGAAACTTCACAATTCCTGATAACTCTCGGTATTCTCAAGACATGCATTGCCTAATTAGTAAGTATTTCAAGTTTTTAGTTTCATATTTTTTATCTCTAATCACTAGGAATGAATCAGAGGATAAAGGATGAGATTCCAGGAGTAGTAGGTTGGATGCAAAGATAATCAGTTGATAATGGTTGGAAATGCAAAGATAATGTAACAATGTCTAATTAGAGCAGTGGGCCTTTTTGCTAGAAATCTAAACTCAGTATCACACCTGAGCCTGCTGTCCAAGCAGAAATCCCAACTGTGCTTTAAGCAGTATAGTACGGCTGTGTTCTTTTGCAGTCTCTATGAAAGCTCTGGTACCAAAGGAGTCCAGCTGACTCATATCAAGTGATAAGAAATTCATCTTTGCAAAACTGGAAGTAACTCAAATGAAAATGATTGCAGTGCATTGACTGGAGTGAATACATAATTAAGACTATATAACTCCACGGAACCAGGTTTTTCCTCTCATTTAGGTTAATCACTGGGTTTTAATAACAAGCATCTAAACTTAATGCTTTGTTGAAAATAGTCCTAAGATTCCCCACTCTTTTGTATCATCGTAGCAAGCATATGTACTAACATTCATTAACCAGATGGTAGAATAAGTAGTCTTTGCACAAGCCCCTGTACTAAAATGCTAAACAAACAGATATTTTTGTTATCTTCTCATGTTGGTCAAGACACTTGGTATCTAAGTTTTAGCCATTATGGATTATAAATCCTGAGCAACCCACTTTGGGTCCTGGATAGGGATACACTGAAAAAATAGAAGCAGCAAATGTGGATGGAACATCTGACATTTGTGGAGGGCCTGCTTATATCTCATTTAATTCTTAAAACCCTTTATATATTAAGTATAATTATCCCCATTATGCAAACAAGGCAACTGAAGCTGAGAAAATATAGGTAACTTACCCAGGTTAACCTAGTTACAGCTTTTAAGTGACTACCCATTCCATTGTGCCAGTTTTATCTATCAGCCTCTACCATTTATTGACCAAAAAAGGGAAGGGTATTTAAAGGAATGGAGTATGGCATTTAATGATTGTTGGATTGTTTTCAGAGGTAAAGCATTATATCTATATTAGAATTGCAGCTATGTAAATGAGATTGGCAGGGAATATGGGAAAATGGCCATTTTGATGTTAGACTGGTAGAATTTTTTGCTAATTTTTTTTTAACATTTGTGCAATACATTCATATTGGAAAAAACAACTCTTTATGACTGTCCATAACACTGACATCTTTCCCAAACTGTTTCAGTTTGCAAACTATTTGACAGTTTCACCATCACCCTAAACTCACAGGTCTAAAATTAAATTTATCATCATTGCCCCCGCTTCTTTTTATCCCCGATACAAGGTCCCTGCTCCTTTTTTCAGTTTCTTCCAGTAGTATCACCATTCAAGCTTGGATGAATGAAATTTAAGATTTTTTTGGATCTGGCTAGCAAGAGAGAGGGAAGAATTGGTCATTTCCTCAGCTGTATGTTGTTTGTTTGTTTTGGAGTTTCTATTGTTTTCATTACATTCTTTCTACTCTCATCACTGTCATCATAGTATATACTCTCTATATATACAGAGTCTATTTAGTATAGACTCTGTCAGCTCATGCCTGGACTGGCCACCACCTTCTCTCCTTTCTCTTCAATCTATCCAACATACCCTCACCAAAAGATTCATCTTATAAAACGTCACCCTCTCATGTCCTTGTTTAGGAGACTTCAGCAGCTTGCCAGTGGTCCCACAGTAGGGCCCAGATTCTTAGTGTGGCATTTAAGATCTTTCATATACTGTTTCTATCCCACCCACCCAACCTTCTCTCTACCCTGCCTCCTGGCTCCTCTGTTTCCTTGCAGCAGAGCATTCTCATCTTTCTCCAAATCCTTCTTTGTTCAGACTGTTCTCTCACTCGGAATGTCTTTTTCTCTGTTTTCCCTGACTAACTAAATTCTGTCCTGCCTTCAAGAACCACTTCAAGTCCTGTGTCTTCTGCAAGGCCTTCACAAGATTGCAGCCTCACTGATTTTTCTGAACTTAGTGTCCAAATCATTCATTTTATTACTTAAGCAATAAACGGCCAGGCATTGTTGTTTATATGTATAGGCATACGTTTGTGTGTCTTCTTAAAGATTTTTTTCCTGAGGATTTTGCCAGCTTCAGAGAGGCAGAAGCTTAAAGAACCTGGAAATAGACAGGTGATCTATAGATCACCATAAAAGTGATATGTATGTGTTACTTGATAATTTCTTTTAAACTGGAAACCGGCTAATATCTCCAATAAAAGAATAATAAGTAAATTCATGAAGTTTGGGTTTTGGTTATAATTATCAAGAATAGTCATTTGTTTAGTAAGATAGTATGAACCAAGAAAGCCAGAAGTAAGATCATGTAACCTAGGTATCAGAATGTGAAGGTGGTAACTTTCACACTGAGAGCTTGAGTTGCTGTTGTGCAGGGCACAGAATATGAACTTCAAGTATCTTTGATACAATGCAAATACTTTACTTTCTTGTGGATAGTAAATATTTCAGGAAAGCTAGAGCTTCTCTGAGAGGGGAGGGAAAGGTTAATTGTACTACCTGACTTTTATGAGAAATAAAAATGTAAAAACAACAAAATTTTGGTAGTAGAGATAGAAATTATGCTTCCTAGCTAATGTAATAACTGTTGGGATATTATTAACTTCACATGTTTGTTTTAGGGTATATGTTGGAACCAGACCCCGACAAAAGGCCAGATATTTACCAGGTCTCCTACTTCTCATTTAAACTACTCAAGAAAGAATGCCCAATTCCAAATGTACAGGTATGTGAGTGGTGCTTTTTAAGGGAGATAAACATCATGAAATTGCCATTTCGATTTCCTGGGGTGTTAATCACCTGTTTAAATGAATATAGATGCCCCTTGCTTTACCTGCCAGGGAGCATTCAGACAAAGCTAACGCAGTTGCTATAAAGGGAATCCAGTTTTCCCATGGAATTTAATTATAAAACTGAGGCAACTATACTGAACAATATAGTGCCCTAGGTATTGAATTGAACACGTTGGGCGAAGATTGACCAACTTCATGTCTTGTCGACTTTTACAGTTCACTAAGAGCCACGTGCCTATTATTTTACCTAGAGGTGATTAGGCAGCTGCTTTCCTGAGGCAAGACCTTGGACTTGCCCTCATGCCTGTTGGAATTTAAGCTCCTTGTCCCTTTTCTCCTTCCTTGTAGCAGAGCTTTCTTGATTTTGCTTCTGCTGTTGGCCAGCTATTAGGTCATTAAATATGAAATGTCCGATTTCAAATCAAACATGTAGTTTGTTATATCTCAAACAAGAAGCAGTACAGTTAATCAAAGTATGCACCTAAACTATCAATACAGTTTTGCCATCTTAACAGTAGCTTGTTTATGCCAGCAGCAAAGAAGCCTGGAGAGTAAGTGGCAATGAAATCATAAAAGGCGTTTTCCACAGCTTGTTGCGAATTGAATATTTTTCCTTGCAAGAAGTAAACCAATGCCTGGAAGAAGTGATAGTCAGTGGTGCAAGGTCTTGAAGACAGAGAGTTTCCAAGTCCAGCTCCTGTAGTTTGAGTAGCATTGTTTGTGTGACACGTGGTCAAGCATTGTATTGCAAGAGTATTGGCCTGTCTCTATTGACCAATCTCGGCTGCTTAATTGCAAGCATCCTCATCATTTTGTCCAATTGGTTGCAGTAGACATCTGCTGTAATCGATTGACCAGGTTTCATGAAGCTGGAGTGGATAAGAACCAGCGCTGGACCACCAAACTGACACCATTAGCTTTTTTTGATGAATATTTGGTTTTGGACTGTGTTTTGGCACTTCAACTTTATCTAACCATTGTGCCAAATGCCTGCGATTGTCAAAAAGAATCTATTTTTCATCACACATAAAAATATAGTGTAGAAATGAACACGGTCTTCAGGCTCAGCTCCTATGGAAGTTTCTAGGGCAGCTGACTCACAGGCTCTTGAGTTCCCGCACCGCCTCCTGTGGAAACTTGAGCTTGCTGTGCAGCTTTCTCCTTTTGTCTCATAACCATGTCCACCAACGAGAATGCTAATTCACCAGCTGCCCGACTTAACAGATTCAATAACAAGGGAAAAGACAGTACAGAAATGAGGTGGCGCCGAATAGAAGTTAATGTGGAATTGAGAAAAGCTAAGAAGGATGACCAGATGCTGAAAAGGAGAAATGTAAGCTTGTTTCCTGATGATGCTACTTCTCCACTGCAGGAAAACCACAACAACCAGGGCACTGTAAATTGGTCTGTTGATTTCATTGTCAAAGGCATAAATAGGACCAATGTGGAAAGCCAGCTCCAAGCTACTCAAGCTGCCAGGAAACTACTTTCTAGAGAAAAACAGCCCCCCATAGACAACATAATCCTGGCTGATTTGATCCCAAAATTTGTGTCCTTCTTGGGCAAAACTGATTGTAGTCCCATTCAGTTTGAATCTGCTTGGGCGCTCACTAACATTGCTTCTGGGACATCAGAACAGATGAAGGCCATGGTAGATGGAGGTGCTATCCCAGCATTCATTTCTCTGTTGGCATTTCCCCATCCTCACATCAGTGAACAAGCTGTATGGGCTCTAGGAAACATTGCAGGTGATGGTTCAGTTTTCCGAGACTTGGTTATCAAGTATGGTGCAGTTGACCCACTGTTGGCTCTTGTGGCTGTTCCTGACATGTCATCTTTAGCATATGGTTACTTACGTAATCTTACCTGGACACTTTCAAACCTTTGTCGCGACAAGAATTCTGCACCACCATTAGATGCTGTTGAACAGATTCTTTCTACATTAGTTCGTCTCCTGCATCACGATGATCCAGAGATATTAGCAGATACCTGCTGGGCTATTTCCTACCTTACTGATGGTCCAAATGAAAGGATTGAAATGGTTGTAAAAACAGGAGTTGTGCCCCAACTTGTGAAGCTTCTAGGAGCTACTGAATTGCCAACTGTGACTCCTGCACTAAGAGCCATAGGGAATATTGTCATTGGGACAGATGAACAGACTCAGGTTGTGATTGATGCAGGAGCACTTGCCATCCTTCCCAGCCTGCTGACCAACCCCAAAACCAATATTCAGAAGGAAGCTACATGGATGATGTCAAATATCACAGCTGGCCGTCAGGACCAGATACAGCAAGTTGTGAATCATGGATTAGTCCCATTCCTCATTGGTGTTCTCTCTAAGGCAGACTTTAAGACACAAAAGGAAGCTGTATGGGCTGTGACCAACTATACAAGTGGTGGAACAGTTGAACAGATTGTATACCTTGTTCATTGTGGCATAATAAAACCATTGACGACCCTCTTAACTGCGAAAGATACCAAAATTATTCTGGTTATTCTGGATGCCATTTCAAATATCCTTTAGGCTGCTGAGAAACTAGGTGAAACTGAGAAACTTAGTATAGTGATTGAAGAATGTGGAGGCTTGGACAAAATTGAAGCTTTTCAAAACCATGAAAATAAGTCTGTGTACAAGGCTTCATTAAACTTGATAGAGAAGTATTTCTCTGTAGAGGAAGAGGAAGATCAAAATGTAGTGCCAGAAACTACCTCTGAAGGCTATACCTTCCAAGTTCAGGATGGGAATCCTGGGACCTTTAACTTTTAGATTATTCAGTCAAGGCATAAAGTTGTCGTGTACTGTTTGGTATAAGTTGGTCTTACTATTTTTCTACTAAGAACTCTTTTTAAATGTGGTTTGTTATGGTAGCACTTTTTACGATAAAACTATACTTGAACAGTTCCAAACTGTACATACTGTATGAAGCCTGTCCTCTGAAGGGGTTCTTATTCCTATGTGAAATTTCATATCTTTCAGTGTCCTGTAAATAAAGATTAAAATCCACCCTTTTCTTAAAAAAAAAAAATACAGTGTAGAAATGGTTCGCCTTTATGTCATGACAGGAAACAAAGGCAAGCTTCGAGATGATTTCTCTTCTGATGCTCATTTAATTCATGCAGTACCCATCTATCCAGCTTCTTTACTTTGCTGATTTGTTTCAAATGGTCCAATATTGTTGAACTAGTAATGTTAAACCTTGCTGCTAATTCACACATGGATTGAGATGGATTCACTTCCACTACAGCTTTCAGCTCATTATTATCCACCTTGGTCTCAGGTCGCCCACGTGGCTCATTTTCAAGATTAAAATCACCATAACAGAACTTCTCAAACCAACTCTGTACTGTGCACTCATTAGCCACATCCTTCCCAAACAGTGTTGATATTTTGAGCTGTCTGCGCTGCATGGGTTCCATGACGGAACACATATTTGAAAATAACATGAATTTTTGACTTATCCATGGTTTCACAAAAATTGCTCTAAAAAAATTTGAAAAATAATCACAAGCCAAACTGTGCATTTGAAAGACTGAGGATGTACCTTCACAGTAAAAATAAAACAAGAAGTGTCAAAGTGAAATGTCAGAGATACCAACTGTCAAACTTAGTACTTAAGGAAATCGGACATTTCACACTTAATAATCTCATATAACTCACACTCCTTTCTCTACTTTCCCAACACATGAGGCTATAAGAATGTTTTCTACACTTACTAATCCTAAACTCTGTACTCACAGTTTTAATAGCAAAATACTGGCCAGATGTGGTGGCTCACGCCTATAATCCTAGCACTCTGGGTGGCCAAGGCAGGAAGATCACTTGAGGTCAGGAGTTCGAGACCAGCCTGAGCAAGAGTGAGACCCCGTCTCTACTAAAAATAGAAGAAATTAGCCAGGCATGGTGTCACACACCTGTATTCCCAGCTATTCGAGAGTTTGACACAGGGAAGTGGCTTGAGCTGAGGAGTTTGAGGTTGCAGTGAGCTATAATGATGCCACTGCACTCTAGCTGGGGTGACAGAGCAAGACTCTGTCTCAAAAAAAAAAAAGAACAAAATGCTTGCAAACACCTTTTTTTTTTTTTTTTACAATCTTTGCATATTTTTCATGTCATATTATTCAATTCTCCTGAATATTTTACTAATGGATGCTGTAATAAATAGATTCTTTTCTGAAACTTTCTTGCTAGTGTCTCTAGTAATGAACTTTTGATGTCAGTACTGGGGCTTGAGGGTGTTGATAAATAACTCCTCTTTCATCCCCACATTTACAATCAGATGTGGGACTCATTCAGACGGAGCTTAGAATATTGGCCTTATTACTAATAAGATTGAGTCGGAGGACACAGCCTGACCAGTCAGGCTTGCTAACATTAGGTCCACATGACCGAGGTATAAATGCCTGATTCCTGAGGGATTGGCACTTCCATAAAGGAGGGAGGGCAAGGGCGAACCAGACCAGCTCACTCTTTCTCCCAGTCTTATCAGTCAAATAAGTTTCTCTTCTCCCTTCAGAGAGGGATGCTTGAAGGGTGGAGGAGATACTAGGAGATGTTTTCCAGCAGAAATTCCCCCCACCTGGAAACATGAAGGAAATGAGGGGACCCTCCTAACAAGCCAGTTTTATAACTAGGATTCTGTTTGTCAGGTTTCCCAGACTGAAAGGAGGGATACTGTATAGTAACCTAATGTGGCCGTATTTTATTTTCTATTTCCACTTTCCCATTCATAAAGTTAAATAATGTGAAATATAATTGGAAGCATTCAGATTGATAACTAGTTTTTAAAAAGTAAGCTTCGCAAGTCTCGGGTCATTTGGTACTCACTCAGTAGCCGTAAGCAGTTGTTTTGTGGTTAGGGACAGCTAGCTGGTGCTCCCTCAAGAGGTGATATTGGATGGTGGGTGATATAGAACTGAAGCTAGAGGAACTTTGCTTGGCTTGTGGATTGAGTAGTGCCTCACATGCTGGGAAGAGGTGCTGGCTCAGTAACCATACATATCGGGTGGCTGTGGTTTTTTCTCCGAGCATTCTAACTAGTAGACTGAGTGCACCCTGGTTTGACAGACTGGTCAGCCTTAACTTCTCTCAGATCTGACTGGGAGCTTGAATAATATAGGTTACAGACATCTCCTTCCTATTCTTTTCATAGCATCACTTCTAAGCTGTGCTATAGGAGCTTACTGAAATCAAGGTACTGAAATCAAGCCCCCGTGAACTCAGCCTGGTACAGAAGGTGGAGATTGATCAGGGAGAATGTGCTGCACGCAGGCAGTTCTCTCTTCTTCTCAGATACTTTGCTTCCTGATTGCAGCTGAGTCTGATGTGCATTTGGTTATCTTCCCTTCCCTCCACTAGACAGAGCTCAGGGCCTGAAAGCTGCTCCAGAAGATCCCAAAATGTATTTGTATCAGCTCAGAGCCCTGGTTAGGTGGTTATTCTTTTCTTTAATCTGTGATGTCCTTTTTTTCCTTTAAATTCTATAGAACTCTCCCATTCCTGCAAAGCTTCCCGAACCAGTGAAAGCCAGTGAGGCAGCTGCAAAAAAGACTCAGCCAAAGGCCAGGTAAGAAATGCCTTCATGAGCACATGTTCTGCTTCAATTGCCACAGCAGCAGAGGAGGATGCCTGGTGTTTTTTATTCTTACATTGCCATGACCAGAGGCTGCACAGACCAGGAAAGCAAGCTCTGTCCCCCCTAGGCAGAAATTGTTCTTTGGGGATGCAAAAAGCAATATAATGAAATATTGCTATCTACATTTGAAAGAGAATCAAGAATCTACAGCTGTTTCCTTTACATGGGAATAGGCACAGGGGCATTCAGAGATGTGGCAACAGCAGACTTTAAATGTCGATAGTACAAGAAGGTCCAAAACATGGCTTTTGATTAGCCTCATTCACTACCCTAATCCTCAACCTGTCTTTCTTTCTTACTTTTATGGCTCCAGCCACATTAGGAGAGTACAGGTCAAAGCACAGAGTCCCTGAATAGCAAAAGACCCTGGAGATCTTAGTTAATCATGGTGTATACAACCTACGGTCTTCCAAGAAGCAGATGCCAAGAGAGGATTAAACAAGCAAAGATGTTATTTGGGGAAATGCCCATGTGAGAGAAAAGAGCCCAGAAAGGCTGGGAGGGCCATCATGGGGCAGTGCAAGTGTGACCCAGAGAGAGCGAGGAGAAGCATGGGCTGAAGTGACCTAGACTCTCACACAATTTAAGAAAGGCTTACCAAAGGTGTTGGAGAGTCCTTGTGCCAAAGTCATCCGGCAGAGGCATCCCCAGTCTCCCAGGAGTCCATGTGACTGGGATATTAAGGCTGGGAGCAACCTGTGGGAAGTGTGGCCTCAGGGCCAACATGGCAATGGATGTGGGGACACAGCAGCTAGGGCATTGGTCTTTTGTGCCCCATGTAGATGAAGGTCTGCAAGGCACATTCTCATGGCTGCCATACCTTCCAAATGGCAAATTCTGGAGGTAGCCCAGGACATGTTTAGACCCCTCTTTTTCAACCACTTTACCTTGGCAAGCAATTGTTAGTGGCAAACTGTGTCAACAAAGTACCCAGGATGGGAATATGTGAATTTTAATAGAACAGTAAAGTAAGTTACGTATTTTTAAAAATTCTTGACTATCTGTAGAATGTTCTATATGCTGTGTATATACAGTTATTCCAGATGTGGCTCTAAAGTAACGAGACTTCGGTTTTTAATGAACATAGCAAACTTACTTAACAAGCAAAACTTGTTACTTTGTAGTCTGTCCATTTCTTAATAGTAATTCTGCCATACTCACCTCTTTGAGAGTTGGCTTTGGGGCTGATTTAATTAGCTCAGTCTTTTGGGTTTATGGCCATCTTGTATTAGACTCAAACATGGTATACAGTGAGGCTAAGCAAGGATCCTTTTCCTTGTTCCCACAAAACACACACATGGAAGTCCATACAAACTAACATTTTAGACATTCTACAGTTTATAAAACACTTTCAGTTATTGACACATTTGATGTTCACATCTGCCTTATAATGTAGGCTTATGTATGTTTCTCCATTTTACACATAAGGGATCCACAACTGAAAGAGGTTAAATGACATGCCCATTATCATGCAGTTAGTGGAGAGCAGGAGCTCAAATGTAGTTTTCTCTACTCCATATCCCATTGTTTCTAAGATGTCCCCCTCAGGAGAAGACCAATGTGGAGGTTCTTGCATTTGGATTTGTACAGAAGTCTGTTCACCTCCATCACCCTTAGTTTTTTCTTTCTTACACCTTTATCTTCTCCAATATCTGTCCCATTTTCCTTCCCACCTCCCTTCCCTGGGTTATAGCCTGTGTGATAGCTGTTACATTACCAATTCCCCACCCTACAAGTACCTCCCTTTAGCAGGATGCTAGTAAGAAGTTTCTGGGTCCAGGATGGACATTCCTTGGAGTTACATCATGGGGAAGGATGTGGAGACAGCTGCTTTGCTTCCTGCTTTCCATTTCATGGAGGCTGTTTTGAAAATATTTTGGCAAAGCACACTTCGGAAGTATTTATGAAACTGATTCATTTGACCTAACTTCACTTATACTCCTTAAAGTGTAGTTTCAAAGGACAGCCACCTCTGATCTGAGTTAGGTAGTAGCCAGCTGCCTGGACCACTGTAAATGAATGGAAGGTAGCACCTGGGCTTCTGTACCATCACAAGGAGCAAGCAGATCACATAGCAGTCTTCTCTGTGCCAGTTTGGATTCGATTTGGCTGGGAGTTTCAGAAAGTCCAAAATGACAGTGTCTTATAGAAGATAGATGTTTATTTTTTCTCTCAAATAAACAAAGTCTGGAGGTCCCTGGCTGGTATGGCAGTTCTGCTCCGTCAAGCCCTCAGGGATGCAGACTTCTCCAAGCTCACCACTCTCCCGTCCCTGCAGTGTAGCCATGACCACGTGGATCAATACGGCAGCATTCCAGTTCCGAGCAGCAGGGTCAAGGAATGACCATAGTAGACAGACACAGGACATGCACCAGTTATTTCTTAAGGCTTCTAGAAATTGCTGCATAACAATCTGCTTACATCTCATGTAAGCCCAGAACTTAGAAACATGACCACACCTGGTTACAAAAGAAGCCAGGCAATGTGATTTTTCAGACTGGGTGACCCTGTGCCCAGCTAAAAATTTTATTGCTATGAACAAAAGAGAGTATGTATATTGGAGGAAATCTGTCTTGAATTATTTACTTATTCCTTCTTGTTGCCATATTAGATTCTCTCATTTGCATGTTTTTCGTTGTAGAGAGACCATTTTGACTGCTAGTTACAACCAAGTTTGAGTTCTCTCTACATCTGAAAGCCACCTGCCTCAAACCCCTCTTTGCAACATTACCCAAAGTATATTTGGGGAAATCCTAGGAGGTATTGGGTAAAAGGGTCTCAATATCAAATAAGCTTGGCCAGGCGCGGTGGCTCACGCCTGTAATCCTAGCACTCTGGGAGGCCGAGGCGGGCGGATCGTTTGAGCTCAGGAGTTCGAGACCAGCCTGAGCAAGAGTGAGACCCCGTCTCTACTAAAAATAGAAAGAAATTAGCTGGACAATTAAAATATACATATAGAAAAAAAAATTAGCCGGGCATGGTGGCGCGTGCCTGTAGTCCCAGCTACTCGGGAGGCTGAGGCAGAAGGATCGCTTGAGCCCAGGAGTTTGAGGTTGCTGTGAGCTAACCTGACACCACGACACTCTAGCCCAGGCAACAGAGTGAGACTCTGTCTCAAAAAAAAAAAAAAAAAAAAGATCAAATAAGTTTGAGAAACATTGCATTGTACATAGCATTCTCTCTGAGATTCTCCGTGCACATTCAACAGGAAAAGTTCTGCTGGAAGTAAATCTGCTCAGTGTATTTTGATCAGTGTGTTAAAAACTTATTTGCCCACCAAACCTTTTTTTCAAAACAATAACACCGTGACATGCTGTGGACCATCCTTGAGGAAGTGCCAGTTAAGCAGATCTGGAAGGTTTGGGTGAATGTTGAGGGGAAAGCATTATGTGCTCTGCCTGCCCCTCCTGTTTTCCCACACTTTAACATGAATCTTTTTCTTTTCCCTTTCTAGACTGACAGATCCCATTCCCACCACAGAGACTTCAATTGCACCCCGTCAGAGGCCTAAAGCTGGGCAGACTCAGCCAAACCCAGGAATCCTTCCCATCCAGCCAGCCCTGACACCTCGGAAGAGGGCAACGGTTCAGCCCCCACCCCAGGCTGCAGGTCAGTAACTGGATCAGTTTGAAACTTGGTATACCTCTTTATTATCTTGGACTATTGGGAAATCGTAGAAAGCCTGGTTTTGCTTTAGGAATGGAATCCAGAGGCATATAAAAAATAATGATTTTCGTTTAGGAACAGGAAGTGAGCTGCTGTTGAAAGTCTATGGTAAGTGGCTGGCGAAAGGGGAGACCTGTCATTGAATTCTGAGTTGGATCTCCGAGACCACTGATGCCTGTTGTCTCTATTTTTTCTAGTCTTGGCCCAGATTTTGTTTTGGTCCATTTATCCCATACCTACTTCTTTATTTTCATATACTTCTCTTTGCCTTTAAAGAAAAGAAGCAAGACTCACCTGTTTTGACACTCACAGAGATACATTGTTTCTTTAATGCTTTGTCTCTTGAAGTCTCTGCCACCCCTCCATGTTTTGGTATTCTGTTTCTAATGAGATGAGTGAGCTTTGTTTCATAAAGAGGATTGATCCACAATATCAAGTAACTGGACACAACCATCACTTCCCCTACCAGAAAGCTGCTTTTGGTGAATTTGGTGGCAATCTACTTACAGCCACACATCCAGCCTGGGATAAGCTGTATATAAAATATCAAAGAATGCTTGTGTCATGCTGCATGCAGCCGGTGCAAAGACTGTGTTTGTGTACAGTAGCATCAAAGGCCAGTTGAATATGTAGGTATTTGGAGAAATTGACTAAATGGGATGATGGGATAAGGGAAGACTTTCTGAAGGAGGCAAGTATTGAACCTTGTTGTTACATCTTTTTTGAAAAATTTGAAGCACATAATTTAGCAAGAAGATGGAAAGACATTCCAGGTGGGACAGAGCATGTGGAAAGACAGGAGCACATGGATCTTGGGATAGATACTTTGCCTACTTGTCACCCCCTCTTTATTGCTTTGGCATGGCAGCCATTTTTGTCTGGATGAGTTTTGAGCCCTTACATGGATTTTATTCTTATTGCAGGACCCAGCAATCAGCCTGGCCTTCTAGCTAGTGTTCCCCAACCAAAAACCCAACCCCCACCCAGCCAGCCTCTGCCACAATCTCAGGCCAAGCAGCCACAGGCTCCACCCACCCCACAGCAGACGCCTTCCACTCAGGCCCAGGGTCTGCCCACTCAGGCCCAAGCCACACCCCAGCACCAGCAGCAACTCTTCCTCAAGCAGCAGCAGCCACAGCAGCAGCCACAGCAGCCACCGCCACCATCACAGCAGCCGGCGGGCGCATTCTACCAGCAGCAGCAGCAGCAGGCCCAGACTCAGCAGGTAAGGTGATCAGAGTATAAAGCGTGACCCCTGCTTCACACATAAGAGTCATGCCTGTGAAAAGGCCCACTAGGTATACGTATCTTCCTTGGCAAGTGCTGGGAGGACAGAGAGCCATTAGCCATTGCATCGTCGTTTCTCACAGATGTAGACACTAAAGCATTGAGAAGTGGATCTATCACACCCCTTCCACCTTTCTTCTCAGGCCATGAGGAATTCATCATCTGATTGATGAATTTCTAGTAAGGACTTTTTTTTTCCCCTAACATAACTACAACACCATTATCATACTGGGGAAGAATAACGATAACATTATTAACATCAAATATCTAGTAGTGTTTAACTATTTCTGATGTCTCATAATTTAAGTTGGCCCATTTGATTCAGTATCGAAACAAGGTCCACATCTAGTATTTAGTTGGTATATATTATTTTCCATTATCTAAAGTCCCCCTTTATCTATAGATTCCCTCTCCCTCGTTTTTTCCCCTTTGCCATTTATTTTTCTTTTTTAAGAAACTGGGTTGTTTGTCCTGTAGAATTTTCCACACTCTAGCTTTGGCTGATTACATCCCTGTGGTGCTGTTTGATGTTTGACCACCTTCTGTGTAAACTGGTAATGTCTTGAGGCTTACTCAACATTTGATTGTTTGACAGTTCTTTGTTCTTCCTGTATGTCACATGAGGAGGCCTACAATGTCTAGTTGCCCTCTACTCTGTTAATATGAAGGTCAATTAGTGTGCTTAGGTGTTGCCTGTCTGCTCTGTTTATTTAATGTTCTTCATTAGCTTAGTAGCTATTGCTGATTATTTCCCAAGTACATTAATTCATTAGGGATGGCAAAATGATATCCTCATATTCCTTCCTCGTCTAGGGGCTGGATTTTTTTCTATGAAGAAATTTATTCATCAACCCTTCAGTTACCTTAACCTACTGTTTGTACACAAAAGGCAGGAGAAATGCTTGGTTCTTTCCATTTGTTTACCAGTTTCAGAGTAAACATTTGTTCCCTATTATCATTCAAGGGTGAACAGTGAGGTTTTTGTTTTGTTTTGTATCGTTATGAATTTGTGGATTTTAACATATTTGGTATCTTTCATTCTTTTTTTTAAGTTCTCACAACTCAGATGATTTTTTTAAATTTATTTTTTTGGTATCTTTTAATACATTGTAGTTTTTAAAAATTTGTTTATTTTGATGCTCAAATTGTCCCAACTTTGGCCAGTGAAAGTCTTTTCAAATTGGCTCCTGGGTCCTTTGGATGTGACTCCAGTAGTCTTAAATGGTTTCCTTGCCATCCAGAGTAACAAGCCGCGTCCCAGGATGATTCCGTCTTCAACCTGGAATCATCCATTTTTCTCAAGTGCTCTGTTTCTTTTTAATGGAAATGATATTTGAAAACCACAGTTTTAGTGCTAGAGATACTCATTTGCTAATGCGTTGGTTGTTGGTTCCAGGCCTTCTCAGTGGAAAATTAGAAAACTGGTTTGGTTTGGTTTGGTTAGAGAATATGCGTTATGAATTCAGATTTGTATTCCTTATTCAGATTTGTAATTACAAGATTTTTGTTTAACTTCTTAGATTTTGTTGTATTTTTCTCATCTGAAAAAAAATCTTGATTCCTAACAGCATTAACATAGTTAAGTTACAGTTTTAAGATAGCAATACCGATATGATTACTGAAAAGTTTAAGATTTCTTTGCCCTTCCCCCACTGCTAAATTTGACTGGCTAAAAAAAAAAAAAAAAAAAGATTTCTTTGCCCTTTTTACCCTTAGAATGTTTTAGCACATTATTTTGTGGGGAGTTTAGCTACCAATTTGATACACAGGTTTTTATTTGCTTCATTTTGCTTTTGATTTTTAGTTATTGCTTTTTAAATTTTGGGTTAATTTTATGAATATGTAAAATATTTAGATAGTTTCAAAGTTAAATCTGCAAAATTCCATTTCTTCCAAGCATAAATAGAGCTGTCACTCATTCCTATTTATGACTTGAGAGTGTTTCATTTAATATATCCTTCAGGATATATCTATCATAGTTTATTCAGTCAGTCTCCTGTTTATAGACATTTGGATTGTTTCCAGCATTTTGCTGTTATAAATAGACAGCTATTTTTTAATATCTATGTTTTTGTTAACCATTTAACTTTGCCCCAGTAGACAAACAATATCTTCCCATTAACTCTGTAACTAAGTAACAGTATTTGGGATGTTCAAAGATAAGATCTTAACTTTTGTTCACCAGTGGGCCTTTGTTGTGAACTCTATATGCCTAGCATGTAGTTCCTAGTAGTGGGGATTAGAGAGACATATGTGAAGTATTGTAGAGAGTACAGTGAATATCTTGAATGTTTAAAGATGGCAGAGTTTAATAAAAATAGAGCTCTGGGGAAATAATTTGCAGAAAGACTTGAGATGAGTCTTAACAGCTGGGTTAACATTTAGGTTATTCTTTTCAATGTTGTCATTGCTTCCTCCTATTCGTGTAGGGAAGCATTTTAATCTTGGCTGCTTCAAATCCCTGTATAAGAGGGATTATTTCTGCGATGGGCAGATCATTTATTAGCTTCTGTTACACTCCGGCTTGTGGAGCACGTGATGTCAGATAGCTTCCCTCAGGCTAGGTCTGGAAAGCCACTTGGAAGGGTAGTCTGTATGCAGCGGATAGCGCCTGGCAGCGTAAGATACTGCCGTGTCGATTGTAATGCCCTGAAGTTTCCATCATGAATTTTCAGGCCTAGCTAAAAGACTTCTTCTACCTGCCCTTGCCTTTGACTCTAGCATTGATTTTCGTTGTTACTGAGACATTTGTCTTTTGTGAATGGTGTTCTGGGACAGGCCCTTATTCACCTCATTTCTTGCCACTTTCTCCTGCTCAGTTTCAAGCTGTACATCCAGCGACCCAACAGCCAGCGATTGCTCAGTTCCCTGTAGTGTCTCAAGGAGGCTCTCAACAGCAGCTGATACAGAACTTCTACCAGCAGCAACAGCAGCAGCAGCAACAGCAGCTGGCCACAGCCCTGCATCAACAGCAGCTGATGACTCAGCAGGCTGCCTTGCAGCAAAAGCCCGCTCTGGCCGCAGCACAGCAGCCCCAGGTGCAGCCTGCTGCAGCGTCGCAGCCAGCCCCTGCCCAGGAGCCAGCGGTAAGAATCACCCAGGGCTCAGGACAAAAAAGCAGAAGAGGACTGTTCAGTGAGGGCGAGGGAAAGGGCAGGAAAGAGGTGGCACCAGCTGGCGAGGCGGGGCCTCTGACCTAGGGCTAGGTTGCTTTCCCGTCCTAGTGGTTAAAATATTTGATCTTTTCTTGATATATCCAAGAGGAATCTGAGGTATTCTGTAGAAGATAGAGGTTTTTAAAAAATGATTCTAGGCTACTAATGAAGAAAAACATTCTTACTTATCACTCTGAAATTAGGCTGGCAGAAAGAGCTGTTCATTGTCTCTGTCCGTGCCACTGTTGAACAGTCAGGGGCCGAGGCAGGATTAGAGCTAGTCCTTCTCCCTTCCTCAAGGGGCACTTTGATCCGTGCGCCCTTTCCAGTCTCAGGAGGTTTACGTGGCCCCACCTTTACCCTGAGCTCTGACAAGTGTTGTGTTTATTCTTTGCCTTGGATGACATTACTAGCCACATCATTTAGGTCTACCATGCAGCTCCCTTGAAGGGCCTGCTTACCTGGGACCATCTACCATGGCTTAATTCCCCAGGGCACCAGAACATCTGAGTATCCAATCATTTGAGCCATCTTGCCAATTTAGAAATTGGTCATGTTCACTTTTAGATATTGGCTGAGTATGGCATCAGAACCCTTCTCCTGATTGACCTCTACAGTTTCAACACGCTCAGGCACACTGTGCTTTGACTTTTCATAAGTGGTCTTTATTCTGTGCTCAGATATTTCTTCGTAATAGTGAGAGAGAATTTTATAGTAATAGAAAAAGGCATTTTGCATAACCAGCCAATAGAGTATCACAGCTACTCTCTTATTCCCAGGGAAGTCCAACTACTAGACGAATGAAGGAAAAGTAAGAAACCATCATTCTGAGGATTGATTTCTGATAGAATTTTGTCGCCCATCTTAAACCAGAAAACCTACATCCCTTCGAAAGGAAGCAGTGCCGTAAATAGATTGTCTTCTTTAAGTCTCAGCTAAGTGTGTCTTCGGTGTCTTTACACCTTCGTTTGTGAAGCAGCTCAGTCTTTCTGCAGGCATGTGGCAGACAGCTACTCTCTGTATTTTTAACAAGAGATAAAGTTCCTCTTGTGAAAAATTATTACATGATGTAGCTAGAAGGAATCTTAGTTATCCAGTCCAGCCCCCTCGTTTTATGGAATTGGAAACTGAGACCCAGACTAGAAAGTGATTATCTAAGACATACAGACTGACAGTAGCAAAGCTGGCAAGAACCAAAGAATCCTGATCTGTGTTTAAGGATAATAATAATAAATGCTCATCCAAGATGATGTAATGATCAATTACTGCTGACTACATTTCTTATGAGGTTCCCATCTGCTTTCCCTAGATAAAAGTGTTACTTTCTTGGGAATGAATTATGAACCTTCTCCATGTTCTCTGCGTGAAAAAGTACTTTGAACACTCACTCTGGGGTCGTTGGTTTAGGGGACAGAGAGGGAACAGGAGCAGACTGTGCTTTGGCCAGGAGCCATAGAGCTTCCCAGCTTTCACCCATCCCTATCTCTGCTGACATTTGGCAGGGCTTATCTAGAGAAGCAAGTGAGTGAATGTTAAGAATACCGTGCAGCCATCTTAAAGCAATAATCAACAAAGGGAAAATGGTCATATGCCCTAGATGTTTATTGCAGTCTTATTAATAATAGCCCAAAGAATGAAAGCAGCCTAAATTGTTTAGGAACCCAGCTGTGCAGCCATTAAAAATCATGGCTATAAAGTCATATAACGGTATGAAAAAAAGTACTCATGAGGTAATATTAAAAGAGTTGTGAGGCCAGGCGCGGTGGCTCACACCTGTAATCCTAGCACTCTTGGGGGTGCCGAGACAGGAGGACTGCTTGAGGCCAGGAGTTCGAGATCAGCCTGAGCAAGAGCGAGACCTCATCTCTACAAAAAATAGAAAAATTAGCTGGACATGGTGGCGAGCGCCTGTAGTCCCAGTTACTCGTGAGGCTGCAGCAGGAGGATCACTTGAGCCTAGGAGTTGGAGGTTGCAGTGAGCTATGATGATGCCATTGCACTCTAGCCTGAGCAACAGAGCAAGACCCTGTCTCAAAAAAAAAAAAAAAAAAAGAATTGTGAAATTATGGAAAAAGTCTGTACTTGAATAGATACTTAAATATAAGACACCAAAAAAAGATAAGAGTAGTTGCATTAGAATGGTGGAATAGAAATCTCTACTCCATATTCTTAAATTTATTGGTGTAATTATACTTTTATAATTACATATTTTAGAGTTTTCTCTAAAATATTTCAACAAGATAGACATCTGAGTCTGCCTTTTTTTTCTCCTTCTCTTGTGGTCTGTTTCTCCCTCCTTCCCTTTTCTAATCCTGTCCTTGGGTGAGGAGGCATCATGGTGCCTAAAGGAGTCCTGAGTAGCAATCAGGAGACATGGATTCTGCTTCCTGTTAACCTTGTGACCTCGGACGAACACTTGGCCTCCGTGGGCCATGGTCTCATCTCCTCTAAAGTGCGGAAGTTGGAATCTGGGTTCTCTAAAGTCCCTTTCAACTCTTACATTCTTCATTCTAAATGGAAATACAACTGTCTGGCTGACAGGGTTGCTGTGAGGAGTAGCTGAGCAGGGTGGGTGCTGCTTTGTGTCAGTAGATTGCTGTCATAAGGTGAGGTTCCTGATGGAGGCATCTGATCTTCAGTGTGCTGCATATGGAGACATAGGTAAGAGGAGGGAAAAGTATTCTTCAAGTAGTGTGGACTCTTCAAGATAAAGGGACTCGACAGTTAAGTGTCCTTTTTAGAATAATGAATGTCTCATGAAATAAGCCAATCCAGTGCATCCGCAAAGGCCCCTGGCCCCTGTGTCTGCTAGCATTCAGCCAGCTGGTATAGGGGCAACTCTGGACCCTCAGAGGAAGTTGTGGAGCTGGAGCTGTGCTCTTTTTCACAGAGCACTCTGCTTCTCCCTCAGTGGGGCAGCTCTTACGCTTCTAACCTCAGTTTGATTGATGTTAGACCCTTATATTGTATTGTGCAGCCTGTTGGTGAAGTGGTTGGTATACCACCACATGTACATAATCTCCCTCAATAAATTTTCCAAGTCCCAAGGACAGTATGAGAATAGTCAGTATCCCAAGCTATAAGCATCCTGAACCCAAGTAGCCAGGTACTCCACTTTCCCTAAGCTCTCTCAGAGCCTGCCTTTGTAGACACAAAACTGGGGGGCTGAGCTGCAGTGTGGGTGGCAGCTCTAATCCGAGATGAGGAACTGGAAGGAAGGGATGGTTAAATCCCCAGGGCACTTATATCCAACGTCATTTTATATCTAGATTGACAGCAATAAGGAAAGGGGTTTTGTGGCTTTCATAATACTTTTTGTTCATTTCCCTTGATATGGGTGACTTAGGCTGAAGGACCGCTTGTGGTCATAAGGAGATTCCCACCTGTCTGTTGGTTGATGGTGGCAGTGTGGCCTGCGTTCTGAAAATGGCCCACATCCCAAGAGTCCTTGTATTATTAACTCAATCATCATTGGGAACTTTTTATCTTCTCATTATATTCACTACCTGTTGTTCTTCAATGTTCTTTCCAAACTGAAGATTGCAACAAGTTAATCCCATTAAACCAATGCTGTATATTTTCTCAGGGATGCCACGGAAATAGGATCTTGTATACCCATCCCATCAATGAAATAAAGAGCCTTAACAACAAAACTAGGCCGGGCGCAGTGGCTCACGCCTGTAATCCTAGCTCTCTGGGAGGCCGAGGCGGGAGGATCGTTTGAGCTCAGGAGTTCGAAACCAGCCTGAGCAAGAGCGAGACCCTGTCTCTACTAAAAATAGAAAGAAATTAATTGAACAACTAAAAATATATAGAAAAAATTAACTGGGCATCGTGGCACATGCCTGTAGTCCCAGATACTTGGGAGGCTGAGGCAGAAGGATCGCTTGAGCCCAGGAGTTTGAGGTTGCTGTGAGCGAGGATGATGCCACGGCATTCTAGCCTGGGCAACAGAGTGAGACTCTGTCTCAAAAAAAAAAAAAAACAACAAAACTAAAAAGCACTACCATTTATCAATCACAGTAGAATCTGTCTCGCTCCCGACTAGTGATCTCAGCTATGGCAGAGAGGCAGGGATCTCTTAGCAGAAATCATTCAGCTTAAATGTATTTTAGCTGGAGGTTTGTCTTCACTGGCTTCTAATTGTAGTAATGGAATCTACTGCCTGCCTTTTGGAAGCATTCTGAATGAATTCCTATGTGACATCAGCAACAGAAAGTGGTCCTAAATTTCAGATATTAATGAAATCTAGATCTTTAGAGTTAGGAATAGCTTCTACAGTCTGGGCTGAATTACGTATGGTTACCTTACGTATTATTGTTGTTGACGATTGAAATTTATGTGTAAAAACCAGGCTAATACTATGTTGGTGTCAATCTCAAAGTTGCAGCTCAGATTGTCAAAGCCTGTTTTTTTTCTTTCTGGGTGTTATTAATAAACCTAGTCATTTGATTCCCATGTTAGTTCTCACTTGGCATTTTTTTGTTATGCTTATCTATTTGTTCTCCCTTTCTCTTTCTTTCTTTTTTTCTTTTTTAATGAAACACTTTACATCTCTCTTCCTAGCAGATTCAAGCCCCAGTAAGACAACAGCCAAAGGTTCAGACAACTCCACCTCCTGCCGCCCAGGGGCAGAAACTTGGATCTCTCACTCCTCCATCATCCCCCAAAACCCAACGTGCTGGCCATAGGAGGATTCTTAGTGATGTAACCCATAGTGCAGTCTTTGGGGTCCCAGCCAGCAAGTCAACCCAGCTGCTCCAGGCAGCTGCAGCCGAGGCCAGTCTCAACAAGTCCAAGTATGTGGTGCTTCCCCTTTGTTCTTACCTTTGTGAGCAAGGTCAGCCCTCGGCCATTACCATGTGATTCTTTGCATAAGTATGTAGATGAGTGTAGATGTGTGTATAGTAGTGTGTCTGTGTTTAATAAACAACTGTGAATTTGTCTCTAGTGCATGGACCATACTGATCTTAAAAAATAATTTCCAGCTGGGTACAGTGGCTCACATCTGTAATACCAGCACTTTTGGAGGCCAAGGCAAGAAGATTGCTTGAGGCCAGGAGTTCAAGACCAGCCTGGGCAACATAGCAAGACCTGGTCTCTAAAAGCAATAAATAATTTCCTACTTGGCCCATTGTTTTCATTCTCTCATCCATTCCATGCTTTACAGAGTGTTTTCTAAACTCTTAATCTGACCAAGTCTCTCCATGCTAAAAATTTTAAATTGGCTCACCGTTGCTTATCACCGTTGCTTATGGTTAACCATGATATCTGAACCCCCTGGTTAATACAGCAGGACCTGTTATATCACACAGGTGGACTTACCAGTCTCCACCTTCACGAGCCCTTTATTCATACTGTGCCCTCTCCTGGGACTGCCACTCTCCTCCTTGTCATGCTCATGAGTGCTCATTTATTCATCAGGATCCATGCCAGAGGTTACCTTTTATTTGACCCTTCCTCCGATGGGATGTATCATTTTGTCTGGACCTTTTTTTGAGAATGTTATCACATTGTATTATCATTAATTATCTGTATGTCTAGCCTGTCTAGCCTGTGCGTTCACCAAGTCAAGGACCATGCCTTACTCAACCTTTGGAAACCTGGTGACTGGCTCTGTGCCTAACATAAAGTAGATTTTGATGAGTGTTGAATAGATACAATTTCAGACCCTTAGCTTTCTTAGAACCATGCACACTGAAGTTCAAGTGTCAAGAGAGACACTTTAAGTCAAGAGAGACTTTAGAAGAAAATTAAGTAATGATACCTAGGACCCATAAAATAGTGGTAACTGTCTTTATTTCTTTTAAATTGTGCTGTATCCCTTTGTTCTATACATGCTGGATCCTGAAAGATGGAAATCAGCCTAAATAGGCCTCAGCCCCAGCCCTTCTGGGGGTCAGTTATTGTAGATAAGTTACAGTGGTCACCACAGGATGCGTAAGCCTAAGAACAAGTTTCTTTTGGATCCTGAACAGAGAGGACTTGCAAGATGAAACTGAAAAACTAAGCAAGATTAAAGAAGTAGCGGGAGGTAGTGAGTCATGAAGAAAAGACGACATTAGTTTCACAAAGTAGAAGGGGTGTCTGGAAACTACTCAGTTGCCATGGAAAGCCCTTCTAGGAAAACAATGTGGCAAATGGTAGCTTGACTCAGAAAAGAATTTGATCCTGAAATAAAGAGAAAATAAGTTGACCCTTTTTGTTGTGTTTAACTTTTATATGTCTTTTTATTTCGTGGGGGTGGGAACCTACCTAGGTCTGCAACTACCACTCCGTCAGGCTCTCCTCGGACCTCCCAACAAAATGTCTATAATCCTTCAGAAGGTTCTACATGGAATCCCTTTGATGATGACAATTTCTCTAAACTCACAGCTGAAGAACTGCTAAACAAGGACTTTGCCAAGCTGGGGGAAGGTGAGTAAGTTTTGTCTCTCTTGTGCTTCTTGATTGTAAATTCTCTGTGCTGAGGAATAACCAGGAATTAGAATGAATCTTAACTCTAGAAGGGTATGCATGTGAAAATGTAGGCTCAGGCCTTTCCTTAAAGGCTTGGTTTCAAAGTATGCATACAAATTGGTTTTTATTTTTACCAGAGCACTGAAGTCTTTTTACCTTCAGGAAATTCTGATCTACTGTGGGTGGTAGCAAGGAGATTACGAAAGCTTAGGGAAAAGACTTTTAGGAAGACTTTTAGGAAAGACTTCGTAGTGTAGATCAAGATGATAGCATTGGGCATGGTCACTCCAGGGAGGAGTGTGATGGTTCCCTCATCCTAAGTTGGTTTATTGTCCCAGAAAGTTGTCAGTGCTTGCCATGAGTGTGCCCTCACATGGACACTGAATCTTTCACTATGGTTAGAGTTCCATATTATTGTTGACTGACCACAGAAAGGAGATTAACTAAATAGAAGATATAATTCTGCTTGAAAAATAGTCTGATTTGGAAGGCAGGACACACACACACATACACACAGGCACACACTTCGAAAAACAACGGATACCCCCAGGAAAAATTCTATAATACGCAGGTCCAAAAGAGCTCTCTCAGTATAGACAAGAGCAAGGGTAAAGAAATGAGCAGAACTGAATGAATTATTGGCCAAACATTTTAGCTTTAGTTTATTATTTTACAGAAATCTTTTAAAAATCCCAGTTACTTTCCTGCCTTTTTAAATAGAATATAGGGCATAGAATTTAACTTTCTTTGACAATTCAGTTTCATTATTATGTGTGCTAGAAATTGTTCGGAGCTGTAAACAGGAGTACCTTCATGGACTATTGAAAACGGTAGTATTTTTGTACCCAAATAACTAGCCCCCAAGTTTTAATAATTTCCTGTTTCTCTTCTTACTGTTCAGCTATCAGCTTTCACATTAGGCTACTGTCACTATGCCTGTCCCTCACAACATCTCATTATTGCCATTTCTACCTCTCCCTCTTCTCATTTGCTCTTCTACACTGCTTCCAACATGAAAAACAGATCATCAGACTCATTAGAATTATATAAAAGTAAACAGATTCCAAGTGAGGGCTGGAGGCATTCTGCTCTGAGTAATATGCTTGAGATTTAGGGCTTTAGCTCTGTGCTCTCTCTCTTCTGTTATATTTATTTATTTAAAAAATTTTTAATTGTAGTAAAGTAAACATAACAAAAATTACCATCTTAATAATCTTTAAGCGTACAGTTCGGTAGTGTTAAGTGTATTTGGACTGTTGTGCAACCAATCTTCCGAACTCTTTTCATCTTACAAAACTGATGATGTGCTGTCTATTTTGATTCTTAACAATTTCCTTCTTTCTCTTAGCTGTTCTCTCAGTTATTGCAGTGACTTAGACAAGGACCTTTGAATAGCCAATGTGTCGCCATAATGCAGTAAATGCTGTCAAGTCCAGAAGTCAGTTCTGAGTGTACCCTTCACCTTCACCATTTGTATGATCACAGGATTCTGCTAGAATGAACTGAGCGGTGTTTTATCCCTCCAGGCAAACATCCTGAGAAGCTCGGAGGCTCAGCTGAGAGTTTGATCCCAGGCTTTCAATCAACCCAAGGGGACGCTTTTGCCACGACCTCATTTTCTGCTGGAACCGGTTAGTATAGCAAATACATGAGGCTCACTGTTCCTACCTTCACACTGTTTTCCATGCCACAGATAACTCTAGAATGCCAGTGAGCCCTAAATCCTGTAACTTACATTTTTCTTTATTCAAAAGCTTTCCAATCGAAGAGGGATACAGAAAGATCTAGAATCACTTTGAATTAAAGTGACAGGGTGACCTGGCAGTAACGAGGAGTACTTGTTCTCTCTAGTCCATGGACATGTCTTAAGCAAAATTTTTTTTTTTTTGTAAAGACTGTCAAGTGCAGTAGTGAGAAGAGGAAAGAATAGAACAAGGAGTTCAATCTGTAACTGTGAACAATTCTGTTAACTTGCTACCTTCAAACCAGTCGCAAATATTTCTAAATTTGAGGAATAGCACTTGTTAATCTCTTGTAATTGTTTAGGTTCTTTGGATAACTTGAAGAATCCTAATAACTAGATGTTCTGTTCTATATCTGAGGCCCTACTAAGCTGTATTTTTGTGTGTTTGTGCTTTCAGGGAAAGGGAGGTATTTTTTTTTTAAATTATAGAAGCAATAACGAGACTAATTTTTCCTCTTTATTAATAAAATTATATGTATTTATTATATGAACATTAATAATTTATAGAGAAGAAAGTTAAAATCTCCTATGATCAGACCACTGAGATAGCACAGGTATACCATCTTGATGTCTGTTACTAGCATTTAACCTTTTTAGGGTCAGATATCTTTGTGAATCTAATGAAAGTTATGGATCTTCCTCACCAAAATACCTGTGACCACAATTTTGTACAATTTTAGGGCACCACTTAAGCCTCTGATATACATCTTTGGAGTCATATTTTAAAACCTAATTTTTCCACTTAATAAACCTGGCACATTTCCCCTTCATCATTAAAGAAGCTCCTAAAATGTAATTTTAAAAATACATGCATTAAGTTCCATTATGTGGCTATATCACAATGTATTTAGCCAAATCTCTTTTTTTAAACATTAACTTGATTTCAGCATTTTACCATTGTAAATACTTCAGCCATAGATACGAGCTTTTGAAAATATTCTTGGTAGGATATAGAGTTTGATATGCTTCTAAAATTGATCTTTTTAATTATACTGATTAATTTCCACTTTTAACCTTATAATATATTCTTTGTACCTGTTTAGGCATGTGAGTAGTTTTTCTAGCCTCATAAATTTACTTCTGATTAGAACTTTGGCTGACATTACATAATATTTGATATGTAATCCTCTCTTCTTTGCCTTGTTTTCTGGATATTTTTAAATTGAAGTTTCAGTTTCTTTAACCAAGAGTTTCTTAGGATGTGTCTTCACCACATTGAGACCCACGTGGCCTATGCAGTCTTTGCTGTAGGTTACTATGGAAGGGCTTTCTATGGCCCAGTTTGTTATTGATGTTATGAATGTCCTCTGGGAATTAGTAGTTTTCATGTCAATAAACATTAATCTACAACATGATTTTTCATGGAAGAATAGTAACATTTATTTAACATCCCCTTTTATGAATATTTGGATTATTATCAATTTTTCACCATATAAATATTCTTAAAGCTTAACTTTTGTTTATATCCTTTACAGTTGCTCTAAGATAATTTCTAGGAGACTATATGCAAAATCAAAAGATATGTATATTTTAAGGCTTTTGATACATATTTCCAAATTGGCCTCCAAGAAATCTATACACATTTTATTTAGATCAACAGTGAGTGAGAGTCATTTTCCCTGCCATTTCTCCGCCCATCCCAACCCAGAGGCTGTAGACAGAGGACATTATTTACTGCGCATTTTTATTTCTTAGGGGATTTGTATTGTTTGTGTCCTTTGCCTTTTTTTCATGAATTTGTAAGAGTTCTTCATATATCATGTATTGTAAACATTTTTTCTAGTTTGTCATTGGTACTCTGAGTGTGACCTCATCTAACCCTCTCAATAGCCCTTTGAGGGTGATGTGTCATCCTCATGTTGGTTACAGTGGAGGGAACTGAGGCACAGAGAGTCTCTTTTTCAGGGCCACCAGCTAGCAAGTGGCAGAGCTAGGACATCGACCCTCTGACTCCAGAACCTTCTCATCAGGTTTTCTTCCTCTTAATGAGGAAAATTTTGTAATTGTCTTTTCCTAGAAAATCATCTGCGGTTTTAAAATTTTTAAAATTAAAATAGAACAATCTGTGTAAATCTTTCATAACATTTTCTCTGTGTAAATCTTTTATAATATTTTCTCTGTGTACATC